GAAAAGCATGCATTGTGGTCAAAATGGTCTTCCTCTTATACTGTTCACTCAGCTCTCCTCGTGGACGCCCATCCTGAGTAAAAGGGGTGGTGTACATAAATCGTCGAAGATTGAAGTTTTTCTCAAAGGGGGTCACTCTGTCTTTCATCTCATAGTCATCGAAGTATGGTTCCACATAGGTAATCTGTATATAGGCCTGGGGAGAAGGTAGAGTGGTAAGTCTTATATGTTAATTATTACTATGATTCATCACACAGTCAGCTAGATATTTAGACCGGATTTGAGATTTTTATCCGTCCATTAAGTTCTTCCCAAGGATCTTAGACAGGAAGTTCTTGTTGTCTGATGGTGCTGAAGGTATTGTCACAGGATGTAATTATTATTATTTGGGATCTTCATCTTAGTGTTGCCTCCTGGTTACTGCCTGGAGTCGTCCCTCCTTATTTTTTTATCAAGGTTTCTCAGATGTAGTTTGCCCCTGTCTGCTTCCTAGGCAGAGAGCGAAAGAGTGATGGCTCAAGATAACTCACTTAGCTTCATGCCCAAGGCGGGACTACAACTCAGTCTCCTGGTTCCAATGGGATGCCTTAACTACTGCACCATGTAGGGCCTTGTAGGTTAATTATTATCAAGCTCAAGGCTAAAGGGAGTCACACATGAAAAAGAGAAGGTATTTGTTATGCATGTCCTGTATCCTATTCTTATTTAGTTGACATTTATTAGCAATCCAGCACCCACCATGCAAGACTGGATCTTGCAAGATCACTTGCAAGACTGAACTCCAGTCTCTCTCTGCCATACTATTCTGGGATGTTCACCATAGGCATCTGGATCCTGCAATACTGTGCTGGTGCCTTCCCAGACTCTACTCCCTTTTCATTTGGACAAACTTGTCTTAATTTAGGCTCAGACTTTAGGTGGCTTTTAACTGCAAAATAAAAGTTAGAAGCAATGTTACCATACCTTTCTGGGATCTAACTTGTTCTTTTCGACAGGAATAGAGTCTTTGATCACAACAATGCGATCTTCTCCAAAGCACTGACCATAAAATCCCTGAGAAGGGAACAAAATCAGGAGTATAGATAATACGTGCACACACAAGTCTACGGAATAAGTCAAGTGATAAGTTGAAGTGTATTTTTTGACATTTAAAGTCCTACATGACACGGGGCCAGACTATTTGAGGGACTATCTCTCTCCGATTAAATGAACACATCCCATCATATCCAGTAGGAGAGGAAGGATGACACCTAAGAGATGAACCTTTTCTGCTGTAGCATCTCTCCCTGGGAGAGAGCCATGGGGGCACAGTGGTTAGAATGCAGCACTGCAGGCCACTTCTGCTGACTGCCGGCTGCCAACAGTTCGGCAGTTCGATTCTCACCAAGTCAAGGTTTTCAACCTTCCATCCTTCGGAGGTTGGTAAAATATGGACTCGGATTTTGGGGGACAATATGCTGACTCTATAAACTGTTTAGAGAGGGCTGTAAAGCATTATGAAGCAGTATGATCATTGGGAAGTGTTATTGCTAGTGCTATTCATCCCCCCCGAGGGGAGGCTAGCCCCAGTCCTTATAGCTTTCTGGAAAGCTCTCACAACATGCTTTTTTTTTTCATCAGTCTGAGAATCCTGTGGCAACAGGAAGACCATTCATTGGCTGCACCACATATAATACGCTGATTTTAACCCCCTTGTGATCTTGTACTTATTTATGTTTAATTATTTAAGTGCTTCAGGTGGTTTTATAATACGTTTGAAAAAAGAAAAAAAGGCTACCCGAGCTGAAGTGAGAACCAACATAAGCAACCTACTCCAAAGCATTAAAAGGACAAAAGATTAAATGCATCCAAGGAATTGGTGAGGTCGACTATAGTACATCCAGAGAATAGCAAAAATAGCAGAGTACATTTTATTGCATTATAACTAAACACCTGCAGATAACACTGATGCTCCTGATTATGGCCAGAGACTCACTCATCACATTCCACAAGAGAGTTTGGCAACAATTGGCTTGGAAACCAACCCTAAGCTCCTGGTTTCAAAATAAAAATAATATTTAGTGAAATAAAATCTCCAGATCTGCATGAATTATAAATCCCAGAATCCCCAGAAGGCATTGTAGGGGCTGCTGTCCCATTACAATGGGGGTGGGGGGGGCATGACATCGGGTAAGATTAGTTTAGGAGACTATCAACAAAATTATTCCTTTACCGTTTCTATTCAGTTTATAAAACTGTATCTTTCTGAATAGTCTTTTGCTACATTTTTAAAATTATAGGTATAATTACCTACCTCCAATCGGTGAGATATCTCAGGAAGTTTGGTTATGGCAGGCTCTTTATAAACAAACTCCTGTTCATCCAGATCTCCAAAGACGGCTCCATAGAAACCAACACGGAAATAAGTCCCAAACATTCTCTTTTGACCCTGATTGATGATTACAAAATCACTGAAATAAACCTGTCTTTTTTGCAGCAGTTTTCCAAAGAGCAGTTGTGTTTTACTTTTAAGTGTGGCCTAGAAGAACTGATGAGATCAGGGCTCTCCAAACTTGGCAATTTTAAGACTTGTGGACTTCAACTCCCAGAATTCCCCAGCAGCATGGCTGGCTGAGGAGTTCTGAGAGTAAAGGCCACAACTTTTAAAGTTACAAATTTGGAGAACTTTCTGTGTGAAAATCATTCCTTGGAATTTTATTGAAGGTGAGTTCTGCTCCCATTCACAACACTATCAAAGTTAGCTACTTGTTTTAGTACCTGATCAACAATGTGTCTCTCTGTATCTCAATCAATCAACCAAAGATTTGGAGCAATTTACACAAAGAATTACCAAGTTTGCAAAAAAAAAAAAGTATGCCTCTTAGCTGAATGTAAATATATACAGAGCATTTATAACCTTACAAAGCTTTTTAGCTACTTGGGAAAAAATACTGTAGTGGAATCCTATGTTAATACAAATAGCACAGCAGACAGGCATTTATTGAATAGCACATCCTTGTTAAAGTGAAATTTTAAGCAGGGGGGAAAAAGGGTTGTACAGGTAATCCTCAACTTATGGCCACAATTGAGACCAAAAATTCCATTGCCAAATGAGACAGTTGTTAAGTGACTTTTGCCCCTTTTTATGACCTTGCTTGCCACAATTGTTAAGCGAATCATTGCAGTTATTAAGAGATTAAAACATGGTTGTTAAAGGAATCTGGCTTCCCCTTGATTTTGCTTCTCAGAAGATCACAAAAGGTGATCACAAAAGGCCCTGGGACACTGCAACCATCATAAATATGAGCCAGTTGGCAAGCATCCAAATTTTGATCAGATGATCATATGGTCATAAGTGTGAAAAATAGTCACTCTTTTTAGTGCCGTTGGAACTTTGAATGGTCACTAAATGAGTGGCTGTAAGTCAAGAACTACCTATATTGCAAATATCCTTATCTTCCTAATCAATATAGAAATACTGTAGCCCAACAACAGAAAAAGTACCTTATTTATTATGCTCTCAAAAGCCTTTTGGAGTTTACTGTGAACAGAAGAAAGCTTCCTAAAGTCTCGATTTGTTTCCAAAATGGGAATGACAATCTTGTAGACCTCATTGACAATTTCATACAATCCTCCCTTGTGGAAACAAGAAACATTTTTTAAAATACTTTCAATCATTCATCAGAAAACTACCACAGTTAGAGCATCATGCCTGACTAAGAAATGTTTGCTCAGCTGTACACTGTTTTCCCCAGCGAAGGCACAGTGACAAGGCTCACATGCTCACAAACCTAAACAAAAGCAAGCAAAGTGCACCACTGCTTAATGCGCTGTGTAAATCAGACCACTGCTAATGTGTAAATTAAGGCTGTACTCAATTCAGACAAAATCTTTTTGATATTGGGTTTGATATAGCTAGAACTAAAATGATATGACGTGGAATATGAATGGTGACTATATCACTTTACTACAAAATGGTATTGAAATGAGATTGTCCGCACAAGTGACTAAACCAGGGGTGTCCAACCATGGCAATTTTAAGACCTGTGGATTTCAATTCCCAGAATTTCCTAGCCAATTCTGGCAGTCAAAGTCCACAAGTCTTACAGTTGCCAAGGTTGGACACCCCTGGACTAAACAAAGAAAGAAATATACTTAAATTTACAGAGCTTCAGGATAATTTCTTTAAGCAAAGAAGTCAACCAAAGTTTTTCCTTATTCCCATGAATACAACAGTGCTTTCATGTACCCACCCACATTAGGTTTTAAACCAAGCAATTCAAATAAGCAGGACATAAATATTTTAAATTAAACAATGTCATTTATTAGGAAATATTTCTAGCACCCCCCTGGAAATGCATATGGCTCCTCTCCACAACAGTTCTACAAATCTTTGAAAAGCTGGCTTGGCTCTCAGGCCTGGCGTTAAGATGGCTGTCAAGCCTCAAGTTAGTTTTCTTTTGATGCATTGGATTGTTTGTTCTAGATGTGCATGCCTTTTACTTTCATTTTATTGATCCTGCTTTTAGAGATGTAAGCTGCCTAGAGTTGCAGCAGCCTGTAAATCCAATTAAAGACATATATAAATAAACAAAATAAATAAAAGACGGTGTACTGCTACTCACAGTGTTAAAAAGCTCAGCAGCATTTTCCAGCAGTCCCACCAACCCGTGCTCTGAGAAATATCTTCCAGAGCAAACTCCATCTTCATCTGGAGACAGGATATCATCCGAAACAGCGGACTCTTCTAGGACATTGGAGGAAATATTCTGAAAAGGAGAAGAAGAAATTACAGAATAGACAACTCTGAATATTGTATTCTAATGGAAATCTTTCTTTATTCCTTTTACTTTTGTTTTATATTATTAAAATATAATCTGGCAAAAAGAAAAAAACTCCACCAAATTTTACCGACAAATATTCGTTTTTTTCCTTCATCTCTCATAACTCAAGTAGTAATATATGTGAATGCTCATTTTCAGTTTGTATAGGAAAATATTGTTTGCCCACTAACAGTCTATTTCCGAAATAAATCATTGATTTTAACTGGACTTTGTGTTAAGGGGAGGAACTTTTGCAATTAAATATCCTATCTAGAATGATTTACTTAGTAATTCATCTGCTATATAACATGCTGTAGCTTCAGAATTTCATTTGAAAACTTGTATAGACGAGCATGTTTAATAAGATTGGCACATGCCAGTTTCAAAGTATTCAGGATGGCTTTTGAAACTTAAGAACATGATTCACTGCATAGGGAACACTACAACACGCTAGAAAGAAGGCTGAACTTAAGGTAAGGATGGAAAGGTTTTTTTAATCCTTAGGTTTTGTCAAACTTGGAATGTGTGGGCCTTGGATGTACACATTTATATTCTCCATAACTTCAGGTTTGGACAAGGGACCACATCTCTGCCCAGAACTCTGTATCCCTATAATAAATAATAGGATAGGATAAATAGGGTAAAATAATTTTTAAAATATCTGTGTAGTGTTTTCTCTTCACAAGTCCACTGCTTCTGTAGCATGCTTCTCCTGATTTGCATTCTGCTTTGTATAAGATTCACTCTTAACAAAGAGTGAATAAGTTAGGATTCACTTTAACTTTATTTTCTGTTCAGTTGTGTCCAATTCTCAGAGACTGCCTGAACAAAACTTTTCTGTTTCTTGGCAAGGTTTTTCAGAAATGTTTGCCTCCTTTCTAGCGCCAAGAGGAAGTGACTGGTCCAATGCCACCTAACGGGCTTCTAATTCAAGGCAGGACTAAAATTTATGGTCTCCTGGTTTCTAGCCCAATGCCTTAATCATTATACACATGGTACACATAATGGCAAACTGGCTCTCTACTCTAAATTAGGTAACTTTTAAATTGATATCATACCCTGCCTATTTTTTTTTGGCAAGTAGTGTGGCATAGAACAATAAGCTTTTGGATTTCTAAACTAATTATACTGAATATGTAGTTTTCAGTGTGCAGGTATGCTGAGTACAAAGAAAGGATTTAAATCTTACAAGCTTCTTATCTGCCTAGAAAGATTCATGCAGTACCAATAATGAGAAGTAGGCTGTTTCTCCCTGCTTTATTTCTGCAATCTGCTTTGGCTATTGGTTTTTATCCTGTCACCCTTGTTAAGCTTCAGTGAATGTGCTTAGCATTTGTGGGATCAATCTAGCTTAACCTTGGTTACCCAGAAAAAGACTTGCATGAAATGGAGTAATTTGCTCCTACCTGGAAAGTGACACTTCCAACTGGCAGATAACTATGGTCCTCTAAAATGCTCAAATATTCTGCCACAAGAGCAGCAGCATGAATGAGGCACATGGCAGCCTCCGTGTAGCATTTTTTCTTGGTGTGCTTCTCTGCCATGTTCTGAAGCCAGGTGAGCCTTAAGTCAGGTGAAGTTTGATACCCTTTGGCAATTCTAAGAAAATAACATGAGAAAAAGAACGTTTGGTTTGGTTTTTTGCTTGAATGATGAACGATATCATATTATTGGATCTTGAACCATAGCATCTGGCTTGAAAATGGCAAGTAACTAGAAAATAATAATATTCCATACAATTTACCGTATCTCAATCTCTTTTACTACTAACAAAAAGGTTACATCAGAACTGCCTCATAAATATCTCTTTCCTTATGTTCTGCAACACATTTCTAATGAGCCCTTATGTAGATTTGTTTTTCAGTGACACATTTATTAATAGACTAAATTCCAAAGGTAATTTTAATGAGCTTTTTACCATGCTGCCAAAAAAGAATAATCCTCTAATTATCAGATAATCCTCAAATTAGGATCATAATGGAGCCTGCCCATCAATGCCATAACTTGTGAGGATTGTAAATTGGGTCACCCTGATTTTACAACCTTTTTTGGGTGGTAATCGTTAGGTGAATGCCAAGGTTTTGTTATGCACACCCATGTTTCGCTATGGATTGCTCCTGCTGAGAAACAGAAGTAAACACCAGCTTTTGACAAAATCATTCTAAAACCTGGCCATGGGACCACAGGAGGCTGCAAATTACTGTAAATGAAGCCTGGTTGTTGAGCACGTGAAGTGTAGTCACATGAAAACAGAGGAGGGCAGTGGTGGGATTCAATTTTTTTTTACTACTGGTTCTGTGGGCGTGACTTGGTGGGTGTGGCAGGGGAACGATACTGTAAAATCTTCAGTCAGAGGTGGTATTTGCCAGTTCTCTGAACTACTCAAAATTTCCGCTACCGGTTCTCCAGAACTGGTCAGAACCTGCTGAATACCATCTCTGGAGGAGAGGCATTCAAATCTGGATCAGGTAGGCCACTTGTAATTTTTATGAGAAACTACACCATAGAATCAATTTATTTTTGTCGAATATATATAAAAGGAAGTAAAAGGAATTAAAAACTTAATAAAATCCTAGATTAAAAACTTAGAATTAATAAGGAACCCTCTTCTCCAAGGAAGTTGCAATAACCGCTTTGGAAAAATAGATATTCAGTACAAGACATCAGAAGCCTCTAAACTAGAATCTAAACTGTAAGTGATCTGAATGCTAGAAAAATGCTAGAGTTTTCAACCTGTACATAAGATCCATAAGCATCTCTGGGTCTTCTTGAAACTGTCGCATTTTTACTGTGTCTGATAATATGCAATTCAGATTGTGCAACAATTCTTCCACCTAAATAAATTCAAACAAATTTTCAGGTTTTTCTCCACAGATTTCAAAAAAAAAAAACGATCACTGATAAGGAAATGGACATCCCACCCCACAATGAAGAATATTGAAAATGGGGCTTCCGTTTACCAACAACACCTAACAAAATTGGGATCATATAATATAACTTCTAAAATATTACATTTCTTTCTTATTATATCATGTAAGCAATGTTCCTCAAGGATTGCAATGTGAGCACAATGAGCAGCGTTCCAGTTCCAGTTCAATGTAATCTTATTTGAATTAGAATAGATCACCGTAACCAATCATGATAGGAACTCATCCTTTGCCTGAGGACTCAGCTTTTGTATTCTTGGTTTTTGACAAACTGGGAATCAGATCAAGAATTTTTCCATTAGCAACAGTTTCCTACTTCCTCCAACCTGATAAAATAGGACTGATAGATTAGGGGTGGGGACTGGGGAAGTCAAGATATTACATGATAGCCTGTTCCTAAAACATTAAGGAGTTTCCTAATTCAAACAAAAATAAATAACTGAACTGTATTTCCAGAAATCTTTTCGGATTTGTTTGCTGGCTCAAATAAGCCAAGAACAAAAGGAGACAGGGACAAAAGACATATTTATTAAGTTGATATACTATTGTTTTATTCCTCAGGTTGTTTTAAATGTGGTTCATGTCAGGCATCAATGGCATTATTTTTTGGACCTTCATGCCAACCGTTCCTTAACTAAATACAGCAGTATTTTCCCATCATTTTTATTACCAATTACTTCATCCTCTCTCTAGGGCAAGGGTTTCCCAACCTTAACAATTCTAAGACATCTGGATTTCAACTCCCAGAATTTCCCAGCCAGCCATGGGGGAATTCTGGGAGTTCAAGTCCACAAGTCTTAAAGTTGCTGAGATTGGACATTCCTGCTCTAGGGTAATTTGCAAAGCCCAGTTTTGTAGAGGTTAGATGCTTCTTCCTTGCTTTGAGAAATAACAAGCAAAAAGAGCATTCTAGGAACTGCCAATAACCCTACAGTATTTTCGCTGAAGCTTTACTAAAAAATATTGGAGAGATTAGATATAGCTTTGATTGCTGAAGTAAGTGCCTTTGCTGCTGTTTTTACCTATGAGTAAGCAATACAGGTTTTGCCCAATAAATTTATCTAAATATAGAAAGCGTAAATTAATGCAAAAGAATTAAAGGCCACAAAATGCCTTACCTGTCCTGGGAACAAAGTTGACTGCATTTCTAAATCTTCCTCTGCATATGCCAAAATGGTCCGTAATGACCTCCTGAGATATTCTTCATTAAATTCTGAAGCCTTACCAACCAGAGATGCCAGGGACATTGTCACTTGCATTTTCACTCTTGCAAAGTTCTTTTATAAAAGAGGGGCGGGGGGGAACAAATAATTGATGATGCAAATCAGGTGCATAGATCCTATACATAGAATTTTTTAGAATTTCCTTTTGAGTGAATGGGACAGAATCCTTATTTCTGAGACAGTCCTATTGAAAGCAACCACAGAATCAAACTTTAAGGGGGCATGCATAAGCGCACCAGCGTGCCTACCATCTCTATCTTACTGTCCCCATTTATCTGTACTGACTTCCTTTGTTTATATTTATGTTTATACCTATACCTGCTATCTTGTACACGTTTGACAAACAAACAAGGTTATGCTTTATTTATTTTACATAATGGCATATCCTTAAGCTGTTCTACATTCAAGATTAAATAATGAGGTTGAGATATAATTAAACATTGAAATGTATGATCTTCACAAATCCAATTTATGCTGTTATTTGTTTCTTTCTATTCCAGTTATAGATTTGAAATTAAGTAATCCTTGATGGTTTACAAGATTGTTTTAAACAGGCCATCATTCTAAATTCTGAATTTTAGACTTACAACACTGACATGTGCAAAAATAATTATTGAAAATATGATCTTCATCCTATGGCAGTACCAATTTCCCCAAATCCCCCAAAACATTGCATGGAATACAGAAAGTGAATCCTTTTGCAAATAGTGAAGAATAACATTTAGCAAGTGGACCACCAAAAAAGAATGAAAGAAGAGGAATTATGGTAGATGTTAATTATTCTGTAAAAAGTAAGGAAAGTGGAAACACAAATTGTGAATTCAGGCCTCGACTAGAAGAAAGAGCATCATCTCTACTCTTACACTGCTGGAGCTGAAGCTGTATCTCATCAAGAAATAAAGCGTAGCACAAGCTTGAACCCGAGTAGTATCAATACTGCTACTGCAGTGCTGCAGGACTTTCTGGCAGAGGTCAGCACATTGCTCCACTTCTTCTTCAAAGAGCAGCTCTCCAAACTGCAGGAGAAAAGACTGTCAAACTAAACAGCATTGGGCTCTTCGGTTGACAGGTGATTATAGAAAAAAACATTGCATCTCCTTTAAAATCCTTCACTTTTATGGCTGTAGTACTGTAGGCCACAGGGGGAACTGTGGTCACCACAGCTCGGATTTACAACAACAGTAAAAATAAAATACCCAATCAAGACATTTTACAGGGAGGACATATTTCCATTATAAGGGTAGTCCTTGACTTACAACACCTTTCATTTCATGACCATTCAAAGTTACAATGGCACTGAAAAAGTGACATGACCATTTTTCA